TTTTGGTCAAACATTTCTCCTAATCTCACATCTTCATCCGTTTGATAGCGACCGTCAATAGGAACATATTTTTTGACATAATTATTACTACAACCCCTGATTTTACAAGCAGTAGGAATTAAATAATCTTCATAATTGTAATAATAAGAGCCATGAATTAAGTTTGGATTTGAAATTTAATAGTTTGGGAGTATTGATTAACAAGCCTGGTTCTTATCAAGGAAATTTAAGGTTAAGGAATGATACCACAGATGGTTTTATTAGTGAAGTTTTTCAAAAAGAAGTATTTTTTTATGAAGATATCCAAAAAGATTTAACTAATCCTCAATTAAAGTTAACGGCTCCTGTTAATCATGCTGTTTATCCAATTTCGGATGCTTCGATTTCTGTTGGAGATGAAAAATTAGAAAGTCAAACCTTTACTCATCAAATTTCTTATCAGGCTGATAAAAGAGAATATGACCATGCCACCTGATTTTGTTTTAGTGATGGGGAAGTCCAAGAAAGTTTTAAAAGTGCTTGTAGTTGCTCCTTTACTCACTATCACAATAATGCCCCTAATACTACTAAAACGGGCTGATGTTGGGGTTGCACTTATGATGATTTGGCTAAGAGTAATTTTTTAGCCACTCAGTTTACTCCCCAAAAAGATTGTCAGTTTGTTTATTGTTTAGAAGTAGGGGCTACTCCGACCAGTCGGCAATTACAAGGAGGAACCACTTATAATTTTACTTTTACCAGCACGGATATTTTAATTTCTTGGACGGTCTATAAAAGGGATACAGAAAAGGTGGATATTCCTGGTATTGACCCTGATAGTTTACAGGAGCAACAACAATCCGACCAAGAGGAGGAAATACCAGATTTATCCGATTTAGAAGAAGATGATGGAGAAAATGAGGAAAGTGATGAAGGAGGAGAAGAGGAGGAAGAAACCGAAAGTGAAAGTTCTGACGAGGAAGAGGAAGTAAGTAGTTCTGAAAGTGAGAACAGCAGTGAGAGTTCTGAAAGCTCTGTGAGTGAAAGTGAAAGTAGTGAAGAGAGTGAAAGTGATGATGAAAGTGAGACGGATGATAGCAGTCAGGAAGAGTAAAAATAATTATGGATAAATGTCCTAACTGTGAGGAAAAATTAATAGAAGAACAAGGGATTTGAATTTGTTCTAACTGTTATTACGAAGACGATTTTCAAGACCTTCCCCAGCACAAATATAAAAAGCAAAGAGGATTTTCTAACAGGTTAGCCAAACATTTGCTTCCTAAACAAAACATTAGGATTAGATTTGTTAAAGAATTAGGAGAAGGAGTAAGTGGTCGGACTAGATTTAAGGGTTCAACAAGAGAGCCATGAAAAATCAGTGGTCGATATATTGCTTTCCCAGAAAAATTATTTAAGAAAAGTAAGTCTAATCCTAATCCTGAGAAAAAGTTTCCCAAAACTATTACTCATGAGTTAGCCCATGCTTCGGATAAAGTTCGTTCTCATCCTGATTTTAATCCTTACTCTACGGAGTTTCAATGAGGTTGTAAAACTTGTGGTCGTCCTCATCCTGGACTGGGACACGATAGCATTTGACATAAAGAGTGAGATAGATACGAAAAGAAATTAAAGAAAGAAGGCATTAGGTATAAAAAATAATGTTATATACAAAGTAGTATAGTAAAATTAATTTAATAATAATATGGTAAACAAAAATACTTCCAAAAAGAAATTGCCTATTTGTCCATGATGCCAAAAGGGTTTTTTTGATTGCTTAATGGTTGATGATGAAAAGGGACAGGGCTATCATCTCGACTGTTTGGAATTAAAAAAAGAAAAAGAAATCAGTCCTCTTTTATTTGCCAAAGTGGAAAGATTAGAAAATGAGATAATGGCAATGAAAAGCAATGGTAAAGCAAAAAATAGAGAAGGAAAGAAAGCATTTTCCTTGTAGGATATGCCAAGAGAATTGTAAAGGATTAGAAAAGGGTTATTTCCATTAAAA